AGAAAGGAAAGCTGTTTATGCACAGGGAGACAGTTGAGGGGGCAGGAGTGCACGGAGGGATGGACACAGGGAAGAGGTAACTATCGGGAGGAAGTGGGAGGGGAGCTGTTGCATTGTGGTAAATTGTAGTCAATCCCATGAGACAAAGTGTATGTGAACTGCTGTATGGAAAGTGAAGCTCTCTAACTTTCACTCAAACCACAATTAAAAAAAAAAAAAGGAATCACAGATTTAATTGTTCAATGAAAAATTGGTACTATATGAGTTAATGATCTCAGAAACATCTTACAGTGTTAAAGAGAATTGAAATAACCCACTTACTCCCACTGAAACCCACTGCCATCGAGTTGATTCAGCTCACAGCAACCCTTCTTTTTCTGTATTACTTCTTGTTCTTGTTGTTATGTGCCATCGAGTTGGACCTGACTCATAGCAACCCCTCCCTGAGTTTCCAAGGCGGTATCACTATGGAGGTAGATTACCCAACCTTACTTCCTAGGAGTGTAATGGATTTGAATCGCCAGCCTTCTGGCTAGCAGTCAAGTGCCTTAGGCACTATGCTACCAGAGCTCTTCCTTCTTATTTAGTCATATCTAATACCTTCCTGGTCATTCGGACTCAACTCTTAATATAATTTAAAAACCAACTTTTTCTAGAAGCATCTATGAAAACTTACAGGTCTTTCGGTCTTTTAAAAATGAATTGGACATTGTGGTAGTTAAGTTGTGTATCAATTTGGCTGGGCCTGGTTTTGAGTAGCTGGGCAGCTGGATGTAGTTATTCCCCATGATGACACTGGCAATGTACTCCATGATGGAATCTAGCATGATTCTAGCATGATGAATCTAGCTGAGTAGCTGCCTTAGGGATGTGGTCTGCTTCCAGGATATAAGAAGTCAGCTTTGAGAAAGGTCTCTGAGCTTTTTGGCATGCTTTGATCCTGCATGTAGCCAAGTTTTCATTCAGCTTACCATGTTGTCTACCAGTCTTAGGATTGTTCCTGGACTTGAACTAGTGGCCTGCTGCTTGATAATCTTAGGACTGTGCCATTTTCCTTGTTGACCTTGAGTTTGTCAGCCTCAGCAGCCAGCAGATGTCTAAGTTAAGAGACACCGCCAGCTTCAATGCATCGGGAGCAAGAGGCAGAGCTGAAGCCCAAGGTTGAGAAGCCTTCACCCAGCCCCTAGAGCTGGCACTTTGAACAAGGACTTCTAGCCTCCTAAACTATAAGAGAATAAATCCCTGTTTGTTGAAGCCATCTCCACCTTTGGTATTTGCTGTTAGAGCGGCACTGGATGCCCACAACGGAATTGGAAAAATCAATCTTTTTTTTCACTTTCATTTAATCTTTTAACACTTTAAAATGTATTACTAATTTGATATTTCCATTAATTGGGCTTCTTGGCTTAAGTAACAAATTGCATCTATTCCAAAACAATTTGGAACAAGCATATGTACATTACACTAAGCCTTTCCTTCCCATCCCATGATCTGAGTAATTACACAAAATAAAAGAAAAATGTTATCCCACAGCAACAAGTATAAGGCTTACCAGCTCACAACATTCATTCATGTAGAAAGTAGAAAGTGCAGAATCAAGCCTGCAGATGATTTATCCTTATTGGGGTTTTTTTTCCCCCTTGTTCCTAAATAAAATTCTTTATGAGAAAATAAAGTAGTAGAATTCATATGTTAATATCATAAGATACATATATACCTAAAGCTTTTTTGTAAGCTATATCAGGGATGTATTTTTTACAACATGTAAATAAGTATTCTGTATGTTTAAACATACTGTTTACCTTTTCCTGTATATTTATAGATCTTCATAATAAAATGTTTCAAAAAATTTGTCTATAACAGGGCTTCTCAGTCTCAGCAATACTGACATTTGGGCCAGACGATTCTTTGTGAGGGTGGGACGGGGGGGAGTCCTATACATTATAGGATGTTTCGCAGCCTCTCTGGACCACTAGATGCCAGTAGCACCTCTAAGTTGTGACAACCAAAACTCTCTCCAGACACTGTCAACTGTACCCTAAAGGACAAAATTGTCCCCAGTTGAGAATCACTGATCTATATGCAAGGGTATATTTGGGTATAATTACTACAAAATATACACGTATTATTTGTGTACTTTTGTTTTTCATTAAAATCTGTAAGACTTATTTCCTAATTGTCACTAAAAAAAAGTTTAAACATTCCGTATTAAATATATATATATATTTGTTGTTGTTGTTATGTGCCGTCGAGTCGGACCC